ATGGCTTGTAGATGGCTGCTTTCTCGCTGTGTGCTCCCTGTGTGTGTGCATCCCTGGTGTCCCTTCCTCTTCTTACAAGGACACCAGTCATCCCACATTAGGGTGGCTTCCTTATGACCTCATTTTAGCTTAATTGCCTCTTTAAAGGCCCTGTCCCCAAATGCAGTCACATTAGGGGTTAGGGCTTTAACAGGCGAGCCTTAAAAACATCCAAATCTCTCTCTTTCTCCACCTCTGAATTTAGCTTGCTTTGTATTGGCTTCATTGTCAGGCATTCTCTCCTGTGGAGGTGCAAGGTGGCCCCAGTTTGGTGGAAATTCTCCTTCCGATCATTGTAATTAAAGTCCCAGGCATGAATCTCCTTGGCCTGAGCGAGGTTAATGCGTTCAAGGGTTCTCAACCAGGGGGCAGGAACACAGTTCAGTCCATGACTTTCAGGCTGTAATTGTCTCAGAAAGTCAACTGCCCAGAAGCAGAGCCTGAGACAGGGGTTGGGATGCACACATGGCTTGTGGAGGAAGCGCTCTTCAGGAGTAATCTTTAAGGTGAGGAAAGCAGAAAGCAACAGGGGAAGGAGCCAGGCAAGGCTGCACTCCCCGGTCAAGTTTAGCCTCATCTGGGGGATCTCTGGGGCATAATCACAACACAGAGTCACCCAACTTGAAGTAAGGGGGCTGCACCCGCCCCTACCACTCATCTGTGACTCGCTGCACGAAGCCCCGGGAGAGGGGGATCCACCTTCAGAGCCAATGTCAATCTTCTGGAGAAGAGTCAACCCTGAGCCTTTAGAAGCCAGCATTCGTTGAGCTGGGGAAATCCCTGAGGGGATAGGTAGATACCAGCCAGCCGGGAAACCTGATCCTCAACCTTGCTTCTCCCAGCCTTGGAAGACTTGACTAGCATAGTGAGAATGGCAAGAACTCTGGAAGAAGGAAACTTGGGTTCATGATGGGACATAAGGAGAAAGCCTGGGCATGATAGATAAGACCAGAAGACTTCGGGAAGGCAGGGTTCCAGAGTGTAAAACAAAGCGTCAACACATCCAAAACATGAGGCTTCAATGGTACAAGCTGTCCCTGCATCACCGATTTGTTTTATTATGGACACAACCCCTTTGGTATTACAGATGCATGAGCCGGGAAAGCAGGGATAGAAATCATAAGAAATCTTCACCCCTGTCCCCCACTGCCTAGCACACATCTACCAGAACCAAATACTGGCCTTCTCTGAGCTCACACAGGACTTTCGATTCCCTGTGTTATGTCACTTAGCATTTTGGGTTGTACTCATTATGTTCCTGTCTCTTGCCTGATAAGGGAGCTCTTCGACGTAAGAACCATGTGTATTTATGGCCCCTAGCTCCCAACACAGCAGCTTGTGTGCAGCAGGCAAGCAGTAGATGTTGGTTGGATAAATGGAAGGATGGGTGGAGAATGCTCAATGCTTGAATTTTTCTACCACAGCTCCCCAATGTGGCCACCCTTGCTTGCATCTGAGCATCCTTGTATGCTTGCACGCTTTCTGTTCCCTCATCCATTTATTTACTCACCATGTATCTGTTGAGTGCTTTTTATATGCCAAGCACTCAGGCATGAGCAAAGCTGCCAAAGTCCCTGTCCTCATGAAGCATGCAGCCAAGCAGGGAGCACAGCCAAGTGACAAGCATGTGGACTGTGCCATTCGGCCTGTAACAAGTACCAATGCAGAAAATAGAGCAGCCCAAAGAGGTCAGAAGATGCTGGGGAGGGCGAAGAGCTCACCACTTTGTTCAAAAGATTCTCTAAAATGGTGACTTGTGCAGGGAGCACTGAAGGAAGCAAGGGAGTAAGCCATGCCCAACCCTGGGAAATAGCTCTCCAAGCAGAGAAGGCAGCAGGTACAAAGGCCCAGGGGCAGGAAGAGGCTCCACTTCTTTGAAGATGAGAGTGGAGGTCAGTGTAGAGATAATCATAGGAAGCTACATGGGATATTTGGAGTCAGATCCTGAGGACTTTGCCAGGGTTGAGACTCTTCCTCTGAGCAAAATGGGAAGTCACTGGAACTTTTAAAGAACTGATCTGACTTGCATTTGGAAGGGTGTGCTGTTATCAGGGGATCTCAGAGCCTGGTTGGGAGAACTTTGCAATAGCCCAGGTGAGAGAGGACATGGTTTGCACCAGGGCTGGAAAACAAGGGAAGGCAGGTGTCTGGGCACAGATGCAGGTGCAGAAATACAAGCAGAGGGCATGTGGGAAGGGTCTCTTGGGATTGCCTGTGTGTTCTCAGTGAAAAAGAAAGCATGGTCATCAGCTGAGAATGATAAATAGGGGATTTGAAGAGAGAGAGAAGCCATATGAGATAGTCCTCTAGGAGAGAAGGGTGCTGGATGGACCGGGAATATGTAGACTCAGGGGAGCTTTAAAGCTTCTTGAGGTTGGTGGTCATGAATTTCAGGTGATACAGGACAACACAGTCATAGGTTTTTCTACAGCCAACCTGAGCTTTGTAGATGCCCGGTGGACAGAGATTTAACCAGCTGGGTTTTTGCCAGGCGTATGTAATGAAAGGGGGTGGGTGGGCATATAAATGTTTAAAGGGATGAGCCAAGGAATTCAAGGTGGGTACGCAGGAATGGATGGACACAAGGAGGGTGAGGGATGTGGAAACAAGGCATGATCTTGGCTTATAGGCCCATTCAGGCTGAAGATTTATTGGAAGGGTCTGTGGAGAAAGCCATTATTTCCATAGGTTCTCTGGTCTACTAGGGCTTAATGAAAAGCACTTTCCAGATTCAAACTGAAGTAGAATTCCCTGTGTCTTCCCCTAATCCGTCCTGGTGCTCTGCACCAAGTGAAAGCATGGCATGGAGGAAGGTGGCTCTCATGCTTTCTCTGGCCTTCTCTTGTCCAGGCGAAATGTCTCCAGCCCCTTTGACACTTCTCAAGGGACATGTCCTCCAATCTCCTCATCACCCTACCGTTCTTCCTTATATTTGGTCTCTTTTTCCCCTTGAGAGCTGATGACTTTCTGGGTTTCATTGGGAAGATTCTACACCATTGGAGAAGCTAAAAACAATGAATCAGGCATCCTAGGTGGAGTTCTAGGGGCACTGGAGTTCTGCTTTCAGAATTGATCTCCCTTGTTTCTGTTGCTGTTCATCCACAGGAAACAAATGGAAACAATGATTAAAGTCCTGCTCTGAAGCCCAGTGAGTCAGCTTTGCAAAGAATTTGCGCACATTTCCATCCTCACTGCAATGCTATCAGACTGAGGGTTATTTTGGGAAGGAATATATTAATATGATAAACTAGCCCAGAGAGTGTGCAGCCCCATTTGCACATGTTTCAAGTCAGACTTCCATGTAATTTTAACATTCTCACAACCTTTCATGCAATTTTAACATTAGCACAAAATACACCATCATGTCCAAAGCAAGGGTTCAGACCAAAGCCTTTGGAGGCATCCTTGGCTCCTCTATGCCTCTCCACCTCTGTCCAGTCCATCAGCAAATCCCACCAACTCAGTCTTCAAAATATGCTAGGATCTGACCACTTATCACTACGCGCATTGCTCCCAGCCTGGTCCAAATCATTACCAGTGGTTGACTAAGCTGTTGTGGTAGCTCCCCAGCTGGTCCCCCTGCTTTCACACTTGCCCCCTGCAGTCCAGGAGCAACAGAGAAGATGGAGTGACAGGATTGAGGGAAAGGGGCTCTGCAGTTGGGAGCAGCCATCAGACAGTGTCAGGAGGTGACATGTGAGCTAAAACCCTGGTGAGATAAGACCGTGATGTCACGAGAAGAGGGGATAGATGGCAGGGACAAGGGCCATGAGTCAGGAGCCAGCCTTGTGCACCCAGGGGGCAGTGAAAAGGCTGATGAGTTTGGAGTTGGCAAGAGTGGTGTGACTGGTAATGAATGAGCTGATGGTGGCTGGATCCCAGCCACACTGGGGGACTGGAGATGGGAGAAGTGGTTTGATTGGGGATCTATTTTCGAAGTAGTGCAGCTAGCATTCAGTGATGGATTGGATATGGGTTGTTCCCAGACTTTTGGCCTAAGCCACTTAGAAGACAGAGGCTTCATTTACTCAGATGGGAGGGCTGTGGAAAGAAGAGTTTGGTGCACGTGGCAGGGGCTGGTTAGTAGTGGGGATCCAAGAGTTCTGTTTTGGACATGCTTGTTTTGAGAAACCTCCTAGGCCTCCAAGTGGGAATTCCAGGAGGCAGTTAAATATGTGAGCCTGGAGTTGAGAGGAGAGCCCGGGTCAGGGACATAGGTGGGAATTGTCATCATCTGAGACAAGGCGACTGGATGAAACCACCCAGGGAGGGTATATAGAGGGAAATGTGACTGGAGAGATGGGCTGGAGCTCTGGGACACCCCAGGGTTGAGGGGTGAGGACAAATCAGCCTAAACACAGAAGGAGAGGCTGGGTGGGGGAAAACAGGGGAGAGTGGGGCTGCAGATGTCCAGAGAAGACCAGGTTTCAACAGAGAGGGAGTGGCCCACATATCACATGCTGCTGAGAGGCTGTACAAGGGAAAGGCAGAATTGGCCGCTGGATTTGTCAAGGCAGATGTTGATGGCCTTCAGAAGGGCAGTCTCAACGGAGTGATGGGAACAACTAATTCACGTGGGGGTGAGGACAGGACACAGCTGGGGCCACGTTTGTCGAGGAGTCTCAGTTGGAGAGGAGCAGAGGCAAAGACCAGTAGCTGTGAGGATGAGGGCCAGGAGAGACAGTGCTGAGTTGTGTTTGTGCAGGGGTGAATGAGTTGAGAGGGAAGAATTTTTTTTTCTTTTGAGACAGGGTCTCACTCTATCATGGCTCACTGCAGTCTTGACCTCCCAGGCTCAAGCAATCCTCCTACCTTAGCCTCCCAAATAGCTGGGATTACAGGTGTGCTTCACCACATCCAGATAATTTTTCTTTTTCTTTTCTTTTCTTTCTTTTTTTTTTTTTTTGTAGAGACAAGGTCTCACTATGTTGCCCAGGCTGGTCTCAAACTCCTGGGTCAAGCGACCCTCCCACCTTACTCTCTCAAAGCGCTGGGATTGCAGGTGTGAGCCACGTCACCCGGCTGGAAGGAATTCTTTACTGGGGTGGAGGCTGCCTGGGAAGGAGGAGGTGAAATCTGATGCAGGAGGAGACTGGCACGCCCTGGATCAGAGCAGGGAGAGCTCACCCAGGCGCAGGTAGGCAGGTGAGTTTGGGGTGGCTGGAGGAGATCGTCCTCAGCTGACAACAGCCTTTGCCACCCGCTCTGTGAATTGTTCTTTAACATTGACAGATACAGGTGTCTAAGATTAAAGGAGACAGCCTCTGTAACAGCTGTCAGCTTTCTTGCAATATTCTGGAGGTCTCACACTGAGTCTGTCCTAGGGAGCACAAGTCTTAAGGGGTGGGTCTGAGAATCTAGATATTTGTAAGTGTTTAATTTAGTGAATCTAGTAAGCAGTCAGGCTTGAGGGTGCCTCAGAGGGGCTCACAGTACTCTTAAGATCATCAGTAATATTATCTGAGTATCCAGTGTCCAATTTGCCTGTCGCAGGGCAGTGGAGAAGGTATACAGGATTAGGGGGTCGAGTTCTGATTTCTCGCCAGCCCTTTATTCCCGCTGTCTACAGATTAATGAACACATCATTTTGCCCAACCTCCAAGAACCCTCAGAATCCGGCCGCTGCATTCCTCTCCTGCCTGACCTATCTGGACGGTCTTATCACAAACTTTTCTTACCCCAGAACCTACACCAGTGAAGATTTGCCCTGTGAGGCCTCAACGGGTAGAACCGAGACCCACAGACCCATAGATGGGAGCTACAGAGAATATTTTGGCTTGTCCTGAGAAATTAAAAAAAAAAAAAAAAGGTTTTGCAGTCAGAATGCTTCTGCCCTTGGATGGAAGGTCAAAGAGAGAGGCAGCATTTCTGGGGCCCAAAGCTAGGGTCACATGGTGGAGGGGGCAGGGGGCAGGGACCCCAGAGAGAAGGCTGGAGCCACAGAGGAGCTGCACCTGCGATGGTCGCAGAGGGTGGGAGTGGGGCAGCTTGCTTCTCCTCATCCCAGCCCTCCGTGAAGGCCTCTCCTTGGTCAACACCCCAGCCCCCAGGAAGCCAGAACCCTACCAAGAGTGGCCAATCCTACCAGGAATTCCTCCTGTGAAGCCAGAAGACAGGGGATTCAGGGAGAGCAGTTCCCTTTGAAACAGAGCAGATACTAGAGAACAAGCAGGCAGGAGAGGCACAGGTCCCAGGTGTACACGCCCATAGCCTCAATGCCTTTACTTCTACAAGTCAGGATTGCTTTTTAATAAGCTTTTGTGGGACAATGTATTTGATGCCTGTGTTCCTAATTAGACTGTAAAGTCCATGAGGTGAGAACAGGAATGACTCCCTTTCCCAGCGGAATACCAGTGTCTGACACTCACTGTTTGCTGACTGAGCTGGAGAACACGCTTTCAGCCCGGGTTCCCCCCCTTATCTCCCACCCTTCCTCTCACCCACTGCCCCACTTTCTTCTTAAGGAAACTGGAGGTTCCTTAGAGACCCGCAGGGAGAGCCAGGAACTCTGAGCAGTGTCGTGTGTGGCTGCTGTGTGTGGAGGTTCCACCAACAGAAATGAATACCTTCAGGCTCATCTTGATTGCACCCAGAGCTTGTGACTTTCCTCACAGTATCAGGGACCTGCATCTTGAATGGAGGTTTTAAGTGTCTGCCAAGCCAATGACTTTCTATTTTCTACCATGAGGTCCATTGAAATGAATTCTTTAAAAGCAAAATTATATTTCTTTTTGAATAATTAATACATTCCTGTGGCTGAACTTTCAAAGGGATCAAATGAATATAAAGTGAAGGGTTTCCTTTCCATTTCTGTCCTCCAGCCATTCTGCTCCCCTCCTTGGAGGCAACTGGTGTTACCAGTTTTTTGTATGTCTTTTCCAAAGTTTGTGTCTAATCTACACACACAGAGATGCACACACACAGACACTTTTTTACATAAATTGTTGCATATTTTACAAAAAGTTCTGTACCTTGCTCTTTGTACTTTGTATATCTTGGAAATCTTTCCATATCAGAATATGGAAAGCTGCCTCTGTTTTAATGTCTGCATCATGTCCCAGCATATGGATGTATCACAATTTATTTAAATAGTCCTTTATTCATGGACACTTGGGTTGTCTCAACCACCGGCTACTGCAGTGAGCAAGCTTTGTACTATCGTCACTGAGCTACAAAAGTCATTGACCATGGAATTCTCCAGGAAGATCTAGAAAGAGAATAAAAATTAGTGGAAAGTTTGAAACAAATCAGAAAGAGTAGATAGGGCTCTGGACTAGAAGTCAAGGGATGTAACTCCTACAAGTAATTTTAAAAATTACTTTTAAGTTCAAGTTCCTAACTTCCCACAATTTACTTATCAAGTTCCTAGCTTCCCACAATTTACAAAACAATTTAATATCTATTAACTCATTGAGTCTATAGGAAAAAAATAAGCTGTAAAGGGCTAAAATGTTTCCCAAACTCCTTGACTCACTGACTACATGACCTAAAACAAGTTTCTAGGCTGGAGGCGGTAGTTCATGCCTGTAATCCCAGCACTTTGGGAGGCTGAGGCGGGCAGATCACCTGAGATCAGAAGTTCGAGACCATCCTGGCCAACATGGTGAAACCCCGTCTCTACTAAAAATACAAAAATTAGCTGGGTGTGGTGGTGCATACCTGTAATCCCAACTACTTGGGAAGCTGAGGCAGGAGAATCACTTGAACCCAGGAAGTGGAAGCTGCAGTGAGCAGAGATTGCACTAATGCACTCCAGCCTGGGCGGTAGAGCGAGACTCTGTCTCAAAAATAAAAATTAAAAATAAAACAAGTTTCTAGCTTGCCAGCAACCTAGTTAACTTATTTATAAAATAAAGATTGTAAGAGTACGTATCTCTTTGGGTCATTTTAAGGATTAAATGAACTACTCATGGAAAGTACTTAAAACAGGGTCTGTCCTATAGCAAGAGTTCAATAAATGTGGGCTTTTAGGATCATTTTGCAAAAGTGAGGAAAAGAAAACACAGAGCAATGAAGTTCAAAGTCTCCTAGCTCCTGAAGGATAGAGCTGGTGCAGGAATCCAGGTCCCCATACTTCCAAACAACTCAAGTATTTGAGCCGTGAGGTCTTAGGCATGTGTTTATAAAACAGTGATGGCAGTCCTGACACAGAGCTGTTAATAATAATTATTGCCATGGAAATTTCCCTGATCTTCTTTGAGAGGATTAGTCCAGTCATGCACTTAGTACTGTAGTTCATCAAATCTAAGATGCCATTGGGTCTAAAGAGTATTGTTATTTTGTGAGTCACTGGAAGGGAAAGGAAATAAGGAAGGGAGGGAGGGAGGGAAGGAGCCAACTAAAGTTGTAGAACGCTATGCTGCTTGTCAAGGTGTTGTCTCCCAGCTCCACACTTGCATTTCTAGGTTCGCTCTCCCTCTGATGCTGGGGCTGGGACCTGCACCCCCATTTGTCCTTTGCCAGTAGGGGCACTAGAGGAGAGAGAAGAGACTTGCTTTTTCAGGTTTTTCTGAATTTCCTGCCAGTCCCAGTGATGACATTGGCAATTGATTCCAGCTTCCAACTTTTGTCCATTTCCAGAACCAGAATCATATTGCTCCTCAGAGGAAACAGTCCAGTGCACAGTGCCCACTCTCAGAGGTCTTCGGGGCCCTCCTCCAGGCCCCTGAGGTGTCAGCCCCACGTGGGAAACATCCCTTCTTTAGAGGTCTTCCTTTTGACATCTCAGTTCTCCAATATCTGCTTAACCAATTCCATATGTTGAATTCTCTCCATTAAAGTACCTCGAGTGGTTTCTATTTTCCTGCCTGGACCCTGACTCATGAATTTTAAGATGACCATTGACTTCAGAAATGTTAAGTGATAGTCCTAGAATTAATGCAATAAAATACTACCACAGGGAATTCGTAGATGTCAAGGCTGATGGTGCCTTTGGAAGTGACCTAGTAGACCTTAGGGCTGAACCCAGGGGGATGAAGTTCCTTGCTCAAGGTCGCACAGCCAGAGGTGGCAAGGCTAGTGCTCCCTGCACTGTGCCTGAGTGTTACTCTACTCACCCTTCGTAAGGGCCTGGCTCCTGCTCCTGGGATGGACAGTTCAGTGACATGCCTCATGGTGAGACGTCTTCATCAAATCTCTCCTTTCTTTCCAGGAAGCACACTTTGCTGGCTAATAATGGGTTTGCAATTTCTGCTGCATTGCTGATGGCCTGCTCACTCCAGGCAGTAGCCTTTGAAATGCTCATCCTGGGATGCTTCATCATGGGCATAGATGGAGGTGAGAGTTCACCGTGATGGGGAGGGAACAGTAACATACTCCTTGGGGGTGTCCCAAATGCGAGAGGTATTTGGGGCTGTCACATGACTGGGGCTCTCTGCTGGTATTGAGTTGGCAGGGACCAAGGATGCTGGAACTCTGCATAAAGTGGGACAGTCCTATGGGATGAACCATCCCATTCATGATGCTCTAGCCCCTAATTGAGGAATGCTGGGCAGGGTCCCCAGTCTACCCCCAAAGACCTGGATGGTCTTCAGCATGTCATGCCTTCCGCTTGGTCACCTTCATCGTAACGTTCATATTCCAAGGTTATTTGTGGTTTTCAGGGGGCTTTTGTGAGGATGGTGTTTCTTCTCTGGGCCTCCGACTCATTCATTGTTTCATTTACTCACCAAGCATTTGTGGAGCACCTGCAAGGTCTGGCACACTGTAGGATGGAGACACAATGATTAACAAGACCCTGTCCCTGGAAAGGGACAGAATGGAGCTTACATTCTAGTGGGCAGACAGATACATAAGGTAGATAGTAGCAGGTCCTAGGAAGAAAACAAAGCAGGGCAGGAGGGTGGTGAGGGCTGTTTTAGAAAGGCCAATCAGGGAAGATTGCTCAGAGGAGGAAACATGAACAGAGACCAGAGGAGCCAAGTGTGAGAACTCTTCCCAGCAGAGAGAAGTGTATGATGTCCCAGAGGCGGAAGGAGGCATGGCACGTCTGAGAAAGAGCAAGGAGATGCATGGGTGCTGATGAGGCCAAAGAGGAGCTGGAGCCAGATCACACAAGACCTTGTAGGCCACGGCAAGGACTGTGGGCCTGTGCCAAGTGTGCAGGGAGGGTTGAGAGGAATGTGACATGGACTGGTTTGTTCCAATAAGGAAGAATGAGGGGAAGCCAGGAGTGAAATCAGAGGAACCAACTGTTCAGGGGAAGGGACTGGGCTGGGTGGGGAGCTGGGGAGAAGGGGACAGATCCTGGCTGTGGGAGTGAGAGTAGGAGACAAGATGTATTGTCAGACAAACTCTGCTCTCTTTCTAAACAGGCAAATCCATAAAGTGTCCCTTTTAGGCATTTGTGGAAAGATTGTAAGCCTTAGGATTAGAAATCCCTGAGTTTGGATCTCAGTTCTGCTGCTTGCCAATTTCTGATTTGTGCAAGTTACTTAATGGCTCTGAGCCTTGGTTTTCCCATTTGGAAAATGGAGGTAATAATACCTTCTTTGAAAGGCTATAGTAAGGCTGAACGGGAACTCTTTCTCTCTCTCTCTCTCTCTCTCTCTCTCTCTCTTACACACACACAGACACACACACACACACCCCAACACACACACACGTATATACTGCCTGGAACCTAGCATGAGCTTCTTAAAGGCTAATTCCCTTCCTTGTCGATGTCTTAAAAGCTGAGGGTACCGGGTTGTTCAGCTGAGTGAGATGAACAACAAACATGTCTCAGGGAGAGGTGGGCAGGAGAGTGGGGGCCTGGAAGTAAGGTTGGGAAGAGGAGGTTTCACTTACCTTTGTTGCCCTGCTGGAGGGGAATAATCTAGGACTCTCTGATAGTCCAAACTCACGATGAAATGACTCCTCGATCATCTGTCTATTCATTAGTCTATTCTACTTTAATAGATGCCTTCTATTCAAGTAGAAGGGAGATGGCTATTGAGAGTTTATCCGTAAGAATAATGGCTGGTGTCTATGTAATGTTTTGTAATTGACCAACCGTGTTCATGTTTTTCATCTTTTTTGATCTCCTCCTATAATGAAAGACTGTTTTTTCATGTTCATTTTACAAATGCGGGCACTAATGCTCAGAAAGCTGGAGTAGGAAACTAGTTAAGGGTGAAGACTGTGGAGTCAGACTGCCTGAGTGCTCTCACTTGCTTCCATTAATTTCATTAATTTATCTGTATAGGTTAGGTTTGCTGCATTGAAAAACCTGAAAACTTAAGCCATGATGGCACCACTACATTTTAACCTTGGCAACAGAGCGAAACCCTGTCTCCTAAAAACAAAACAAAATGAAACAAAACAAAAAACAGAATGTAGTAGCTTGAAATAAAACCATTTTACTGTGCTTTCACTTCGGTGGGTGGGCTGGGCTGTTCTGCTCTGGGCCAGCTCTGCCAATCTCTGTTGGGCCTTCTCATGTGTCTGTGATGGCTTCAGGTAGGTCAGTGACTGGATGACCTGGGATGGTCTCACGCCTGTGTTTGGGTGTTAGCAGGTGGCCTGGTCTCAGGGGCTGTCAGTGGGCCAGCTCATTTCTTGGCTTCCTACCCTGGGCCAGGGGGGCCTGGGTTGCCTCGCATAAAGTTCGTGGGCTGCCAACAGCAGCCAAAAGAGAAAGTCCCAATGTGTAAGCACTTTGCATGCACATTTGCTGATGTCCCTTGATGTCCCTTTGGCCCAAGCAAGTCCCATGGACAGGTGCAGAATGAATGTCAGAGAGGACTGACTCCCCAAGGATGTGGATCCAGGGAGAGGATACAAATCAAGGACCACTGCAGCAACCACTAACCTCACAGTCTTGGCCTCTTTCCCACCTGGCATGGCAACTTAGTAGTAAGGCCTCCCTTGTTGGGTGATGTGAAAATTAAATGGGCCAGGCGCAGTGGCTTACACCTGTAATCCCAGCACTTTGGGAGGCCGAGGTGGGTGGATCACCTGAGGTCAGGAGTTTGAGAGCAGCCTGACCAGCATGGAGAAACCCTGTCTATACTGAAAATGCAAAACTAGCTGGGCATGGTGGCACATACCTGTAATCCTAGCTACTCGGGATGCTGAGGTGGGAGAATCACTTGAACCCAGGAGGTGGAGGTTGCAGTGAGCCGAGATCGCCCATTGCACTCCAGTCTGGGCAACAAGAGCAAAATTCTGTCTCAAAAATAAATAAATAATATTTATTATTTTTTACATCAATACAAACATGATACCAAATGGTGTTGGAAGCAAAATTCATGTACATAATAAAGTTAAAATAGGAGACTGTACTGCTACTTTGTGTTTGTGGAAGATTGCACTGGACGTGTCCCTGTCATGGCCTTCCCAGTGCTGTTGACATGCCCAGGGGCGCAAGGTCACGTCTTCTGAATTAGGAGCTCGCTAGTGGACAAGCCCATGGCTGCTACTTTAGGAGAAGTCCAAGATCAGCAGGATCAATTGCTTTTGAGGGCTTCTGTGGACAATCTGTTCCAGGCCTCTCTTCCACCTTCAGGTGGTGGCCAGAAATCCTGGCATTTCCTGGCTAATTGTTGCATCAGTCCAGTCTCTGTCTCCTCATCACATGGCCTTCTCTCATGTCTGTGTCTGTGTCTTCACATGGCCTTCTTATAAGAATGAAAAGTATTGAATTTAAGGGCCATCCTACTGCAGTATGACCTCATCTTAACTTGATTACATCCGCAAAAACCCTATTTCCAAATAAGGCTACATTCACAAGTAACAGGATTTAGAGCCTCAGCATATCTTTTGGAAGGATACCATGCAACTCACTATAAGAGGTGACACTGAATGGAGACTGGAAGGTTAAGAAGCTGTGGAGCTCTGAAAACAGAGAGTTCCAGACAAACAGAAGAGCAGAAGCCAACATCCTATGATCAGAATGAGCCTGGAGTGTTCAGTGAACTCCACATCCAGGACTCCTGGGGAGGAGAGTGGCAGAAGATGGGCTCAGAGATCAGAAGAGTTTGCTCACGGGTAGGGATGCTTGGTACAGCATCATGGGCCTAGGATGACCAACCATCCTGGTTTGTCCAGGACTGAGGGGGTTTCTGGGTGGTACTAGGCAAACTGGGGTGAGCTGGTCACCCGATGGCGGACTTTTCACGCAGCCCACCTCCTCGTTCACTGCTGCTTTAGCCACTAGTATCTCCCCTTCCGTGTCATCTCACAATGAACAAATAAGAATAATTCGTCACCATTTATTGACAGCTGAATCTAAGCTGCGCACTCTGCAAGGCATTTGACATGTGTTCCGTAGGTGCGTGGCACCATGTGAAGGAGATGCTACTGCCACCCTAGCTTTACAGAAGAGGCAGAGAAGTTAGCTCCATGCCTCTGCCACTGACGACACTGCCTCTGTGCTACAGCTCCCTCATTTCCTTACTATGTTTTGTGAGATAATGATTATTATCCCCTTGTGGGGGAAGGAGCATCAGGATAAAGAACAGTTTTTGAAGTGTTATCAAGTGACCACACGAGAGCCCAGTGCCTTACATGCAGTCATTTTATTCTCATTACAGCAGAAATAGTCATCACTGTATTTTGCAAATAAGTGAGCTGAGAGTAAAAGAGATGAAGTGACTTGATTGAGATCCCCCTGTGAGGAAACCAGGGCTGTAGGACTTGAGTCCGGTGTAGCACAGTTTTCCCTCTATTGCCCTGCTTGCGAAGAATAATAGACTAAATTGTTTGGTGGCCAGCCAATTACTCCATGAGGCCATATGCTCCCAATATATGTGTTTTGGATAAAAGTTCAAGCATCATCTGGTCTATGTTGTGACAAATAATTTCCATCTCTTTGCTTCTTAAGCATGTTTGTTTTGAGTGGTAAACCAGAAACAGTATCCTGGGCTAAGAGGCAATGAATGAGATTCCCAGTTTGTAAATTGGGGTGTGTGTTCCCTTCACTAATTTTCGGGAAAGTCCTTCCTGAATGCTAGCAACTGGAGTAAACTCAGCTCAACTTGAAGCACATTGATTGGTGCCTAAACTGTGTTGGGAACTATACTAGAGACGTTGGAAAACCGAGGCAGGAAAGACATTTTTGATGCCCTCACAACCTGGTGAAAAATTAGATGGTAGTAATAGGTGCTAATAATGCTAATTTGTACAGTATTTTACAATGAATAGGTAACTGAGCATATCTCAACTCTCACAGAGATCCTCTGAAGCTAGGCTCAATACTTATCCCCATCTTGTGGAAGCTGAGAGAAGCTCACAACCGCACCCAAGTTCCCACAGCTTGTAAGTTGCAGGGATTTGGCCCAAGAGGCCTTGTGACTCCAGATTATGCAGTCTGTGCTCTAAACAAGCAATGAATCTGCCTGGGATAAGTGCAATGTAGTCATTTATAGGCCTATAAAGTGACTTAAGAATAGCCCTGCTCAGGTATGGGGGAAAGCAAGGTTTGTTTTTTTTAAGTTGACAAGTCCTTGTATAATTTTTACTTACAGGCTCACTGTGTGTGCAGTAAGCACTTTGTAAAACATCTTTATAACTGTTAGTTTTTATTCAAAATACCTATCATAAGCCTCTGAACATGTAAATTTATCTCAAACATCATTAGATTATATGTGGATGACCTATTTTTATAAAATGAGTGTAATAGCATCTGCCATAACTGAGTCCCTTAATTTATGACAAGAGGCAATGTTAGCTGGCGGGAAAAGCTCAAGTTCTAAGATCAGAGGCCCACTGGGGCTCTATTGGGCAAAATAATTTTTTTAAGCATCTCTGGACATGACTTGGTGATTTAGGCAAGTTACTCAACTTCTCTGTGCCTCAGTTTACTCATCTTTAGAAGAGAAATAGTAACAGTATATTTAATTCAGAAGACTATTGTTAAAAGTAAATATGTTAATACATATAAATAGATGAGAAGGATTCCTGTTACTTGGTAGCCACTGTGTGTATTGGCTATTATCATTGTGACCACCATCACCACCATCACCATCATTGCCATCACTATCACCATCACCATCACCACCACCACCATCACTATCACCACCATCACCACCATCACTATCATCACCATTACTACTACCACCACAATCACCATCATCATTGCTACAACCATCATCGCCATCAGCACCACCACTATCACCATCATTACCATCACCATCACCACCACCACTATCATCACTACCATCATCACCATTGCCATCATCATCACTATTGCTACCACCATCAACATTACCATCATTGTCATCACCACCATCACCATCATCACCATCATGACCATCATTACTGCCACCATTATCACTATCATCATCATTGCCACAACCATCATCACAATCATCACCACCATCATCACCATCATGACCATCACTACCACCACTACCATCACTACCTTACCACCACCACCATCACCGTCACCATCACCATCATCACCATCACTACCACCGCCACCATCACTACCATCATCATCACCATCACCATCATCATCACTATTGCTACCACCGTCAACATTACCATCATCATCATCACCACCATCACCATCATGACCATCATTACTACCACCATTATCACCATCATCATCATTGCCACAACCATCATCACCACCATCACCATCATCACCATCACTACCACCATCACCATCGCCATTACTACCATCACCACTACCATCATTATCACCATCATGACCATCACTACCACCACCACCATCACCATTACTACCATCACCACTACCATCATTATCACCATCATGACCATCACTACCACCACCACCATCACCATTACTACCATCACCACTACCATCATTATCATCACCATCATGGCCATCACTACCACTGCCACCACCGTTATCACCATCACCATCATTATCACTGTCAATACCATCACCTCCACCAACACCATCAGCTGTGTCCTGTCCTCTGAAATGCACCTCCAGTCATACTTTAGGGATTAAATTATAAAGTGCATGGGAAAACTTTGGCAATTTGTGCAAAGTGCTGGGAAAGATGCTGTGGCTACAGTGTTATTTAACGTCCAGGGCAAAGCAGAGCCAAGAGAGGCACTGTAACCAGAGTGCGGCTCCGTCAGGAAGACACCTCTCTAACTGCTGCTATGCTTCTTCTACAGGCATCGCCCTCAGTGTGCTCCCCATGTACCTCAGTGAGATCTCACCCAAGGAGATCCGTGGCTCTCTGGGGCAGGTAACCGCCATCTTTATCTGAATTGGCGTGTTCACTGGGAGCTGCTGGGCCTGCCCGAGCTGCTGGAAAAGGTGAGTGTGGCTCCCTGGTCAACCGCATCTGCCCTCATCTCATGTTACCACTGCAGGAAGGAGCCTTTTCTCCAAAAGCTGGTCCCTGTATATTGCAATTCCTGGTGTTCAAGCCTCTTCCTTATTATTGGAGAAAAGTTGTGGAGTTCCTTTAATTTTTTTTAAGGACATAAAGAATACATAACAAATTGAAACCTTATAGAATGTTTAAGTGCACCCACCCAATAATTATCATTAATAGCTCAATTTGTGTTTGTTTAGGCATCTTCTGTGCTTTAAAAACGTATATAAACATATATAGTTTATTGTGGTTTTGATGGAATTATGCCATATGCATTGATCTACAACCTCATGTTTTCATTTAAGATATTTTGGGTATCTTTTCAAGATGTTAACTTAGCTCTACCTCATTCTTGAGTCTCTTTTTTCCTGAATAAATAAGTAATTAGAGTCTTCTGATTTTGGCTTGCTGTTTTGGGAGAAGGTGGGCCTGAATTTGAATCCCAGTTCAATGATCTACTTGCTGTGTGGCCTTGGCAGGGAGAAAAGAAACACTTCACTCAGGTTGAATGGGGTGGGGCAAAATCAAGGAGGGCTTTTCAGAAGAGGTGGCCTCTAAATGGACTCCTGAAGGGTAAGCAGGAGTTAGGCAGGTGATGATGGGGATTGGGAGAGAGGATATACCAGAGAAAGGAAACCAGTAAAGAGAAGGCTCAAGATGGGGCGCAGCCCTGTGAAAGAACTCAGACAGCTTTGGGGCTGAGGAGAGAACAAGCATGGGAAGGGTGAGAGATGAAAGTCTGTTCACTGAGCCACCACAGAGTTCGCCCTGGGGGAATAGGAAGCCCTGGGCGGCACTGGAGCTGGAGGGTGACATGGCCAGATCAGTGTTAGAAGGTGGCTCTGGGGTGGAGGTGGTGGGTGTAGACTAGAGTGGGAAGGGTGGGGAGGAGAGAGGCAGAGGGCTGCTGCTATTGGTACACATGGTAAGGGAAGGATGCAGCTGCGACTGAGGTGGTGGACATGGGGATAAAGAGGAATGGGTGTGTTCAAGACCATGGTGGAAGCACAGGCCACTGGACTTGCTAGGATTCTTCCCAAGGGATGCTCACAGGGATGCAGGGGCGCTCCCTTCCCACTCACATAGACAGGGCAGGAGGGTGGGCAGAGATTAAACCACTAATGATGGTCGAATGCCCATTGCATGCCAGACTGTTCGAGGTATGAACAGTGCACAACAGACAAACAGCTCCCTGTGGAGCTGAATTCTGGCAGCAGGGGGCAAACATAACGAATTTGCAAGTCCTAGAGCAGTTATGTAAAAGACTCGTTTGTTACGCTGCTCAAATCCTAACAGCTACTTTGTGAGTAGCTCAGATTTGCAGCCTTGGACGCAAGCAGAGAGAGGTAAGGGACAGAGCTCTCGTGAACAAGGACGTATTGGTGCTGAAACCAGAACCTGGGTCTGTGTACTTTCAAAGCCACATATGGGGTGTGTCTCATACAGCCAAGGACGGATCACACTGGTGTTTCTGGGAATGTGTGAGCTCTGGAGAGAAGGGGCTAGTTCTGCCCACGGAGTCCTTTCTGTCCCAGCTGTTGAGCCTCACTGACTGTAGGGCCAGCTCCTTTCGCATTCAGTGGAAGGTTTTATAAGTGGCGGAATCATTGCATTACATTTTTCAAACAAATTTTCAATGTTTTGAACATTTTTTATTGTAGTAAAATCCACATAAAATTTACCATTTTGACCATTCTTAAGTGTACTTTTCTGTGGTATTAAAAGTGACTTTTTATATTTCAGCCAGTCGAGGTCACCTCAGAGGCATCTGCTTCTGTTCCTTTATTATGACCATTCTGGGTTATTATGGCTATAACTTTAGTTTCTTCTTTTGCAAAAACAGAAACAACTCACATTTTACATCTGCGGTTGTCGTATGCGTGACGATTTCTATAATTAATTGCATGTGTTAGAAACAGTCTCTCTACCTAAGTGAGGTTCCAAACTAAAGAGACTCTTTTGCTTTTTGTTTTTCAAGATATTTTAAAATTCTCAAAATAACCACCTCGTGTTGACAATTAAAAACAAGATAACAGCCTCAGCTCCCTAAACAAAAATACATTTAAAAGTTAATGAAGAGTGCTATTGTCCTTTAGGAGTAAAAAAGCAAATAAATATTTGCCTCAGTAGAGCTAAGCTTTTCTCTTTGGGGATCATTTCCAAATTCCTCTTTGTTTATAAATCAATATCAAGTTCTTTCCGCTGCTTGAGTCCTTAAGGTCTTTCTTCAACCTCTGTCTTCATCCTTTATTTATTCATTCACCACATTTGTTAAACATTGAGTTGATGCTGGAGCTGCAGCTTTGAGCATGTCAGGCACAGCCCACATCTTAATGTTGCTCAGACTGCAAGGACTGTGTGACCTTGGGCAGGTCAACTCACCTCTCTAACCAGTGTCGTCTTCAGTAGGAGGCATGGTTGCAAGTCCCAAATTCCCAAGCCCCACTGAAGCTTGACTTCCTCTGGGAAAACATCACTGGCAAATAGTGACTGTTCAGCATATCCCAGGACACCGTGCACCTGTGCCTCTCCCACACTGATTTCCGTTTGCTTTCGCATCTTGTCCTGCCAGTTGATGGCATCTTACTTGTATGCACAATAACCCAGAGGCATCAAGTTTATCTAGTCATCCAACAAATGTTTAGAAAGCTCCTCTTGTGTGCCAGGTATTGGGTTGGCTGCTGGTGGTAGAGTGGTGAGGTCATCAGGCTAGCCCTGCCCTTGGGAGCTCACAGGAGGGTGATTGACCAGTGGCCACAGGTGATAGGAAAATAGGCACTGACCTCTGGTAGGGCATCGGGGGTGGTTTCCCTGCAGCAGTGACATCTAAACTCATGGCTTGAGGACGAGTAGGATTTATCTGGGCGGGACTGTAGGAAGAGAGAGGAAATGGGGGTGGGGCATTCCAGCAGAGGTAAGAGTATGGGGGAAGGCCCTGGCATTTGTTCAGAGGCAGAAAAACTCAGATGACAGGAGCGGGGAGAGGGAGAGGGAGAGAGAGAAGGAGGGGGACGGGGAGAGGGAAAGGGAGAGACAGAGGCTACTGGCAAGGCAGGTCTGTGGGCAGGAGGGCCACACCTATGCTGTAAATGGGCACAGGGAAGGATGGGCAAGGTGAGGGGTTCCCTGGACCTGTGGCTGCTTGGGGGTCAAGGGCAGCCCCTACTGTTTCCATCATAGACACTGGCCTAGAGATGACAGATTTTCTGAGTTTCAAGAGATATTACAAATCCGGATTTGTCATATTTCATAATTTGTAAATATTGGAAACTGACCTTTAAAAAACAAAAAACCTCCCTCCTGTGGCCTGGGTCCAGCCTTAGGGTCACCTTTCACACACCTTGATGGGGAGTGTGTGCCTGTGAAGGCTTATTTGTACCCCCAAAGCAGTGGGACATCATTGAGGACATGACGAGTGCTTCAAGAAGGCTTTTGGGCTGCAGCATGGAGAAAGGATTGTATCCCGGCCAGGACTGAAGGGGTTGACTGGTCCAGTTATGAAATGGGTCAGAGTAATGGCAGTGTGGATGGAGAGAGGCGGATGAGGTTGAGTGAGGCTAGTGGTGATGGGATGTGGTGTCCCAGAGAAGAGTCAAGAATAACTCTCAGGCGTCTGGCACATCAGCCAGTCAGAATGGTGGTACCAGATGCTAAGACAGGGAGCTGTGAAGGAGGAGGAGCAGCTCTGCAGGGGACAGGGTGACAAGTTCACTGTCGTGAACTGTGCATGTCACGTAGCAACTGGAAGGAAGAGCTGATTCGAGAACCTGGGTACCTAGATTCTGAGGCTGGGACACTCTCTCCCAGGGACAACAGGGCTCATGAACATGATGCCAGCCAAGGGGCACAGCTGCCCACGCCTACCTTCTGGCCTCAAGCCAGCCAAAAGTTGTACCATTGGTCCCTATAGGCTGTCTCTTCCCATCAGATGGGAGTTTCCAGACTGTCTTGGCCCTGGCCAGGAAGATGGGTGAGGAACCCTGTAAATATCCTTTTGTTTTCAAATTTATGTTCTGGGAATGTGGATCTAGGGCTTCTGGTCTAGGAAAGAACATCAAATGGGAATTTTTTATTCACGTCTCTGGAAATTTGCAGTGTTCCAGCCAAGTGAAATCCACAGTTATTTCACTAAGCGTCAGAATTTCATTTTCACTATTTTAATCGTATTTCTCATTTACCTTCAAAGACTGAGACAACCAAGCTTTGAAAAAAGAGAGAGAAAAACTGGGCTTCAATGCAGGCAATTGCTTTGAAACACAGAGGGTGAAGGAGGTTAGCAAGAAGGTAGCTATTTTATTTATTTTATGACTTCAACTTTTATTTTAAATTAAGAGAGTACATGTGCACACTTGTTTCCTGGGTATATTGAGAGATACTCAAGTTTGGGGTATAATTTATCCCATCACGCAAGTACTGAACATACTACCCAATAATTTTCCAACTTTTGTCCCCTCTATTCCTCCTCTCCATCTATCCCACTGTCTCCAGTGTCTGGTGTTGCCATCTTTATGTCCATGAGTACCCATTGTTTAATTCCCACTTACAAGTGAGAACATGCAGTGTTTGGTTTTCTGTTCCTGTGTTATTTCACTTAGGATAATGGCCTCCAGCTCCATCCATGTTGCTGCAAACAACATGATTTTGCTTCTTCTCATAGCTGCATAGTATTCTATGATGTATGTGTATCATTTTCTTTATCAAGTCCACTATCGATGGGCACTTAAGTTGATTTCATGTCTTTGCTGTTGCGAATAGTGGTGCCATGAACATACGAGTGCATCACTCTTTTTAGTAGAATAATTTATTTTCTTTTGGATATATACCCAATAATGGGATTGCTGGGTCAAATGGTAGTTCTGTTGTAAGTTCTTTGAGAAATTTGCATATTGTTTTCCATAGTGACTGAACTAATTTACATTCCCACCAACAGGGCATAAGT